TCTAGTGATAGGCTTTGTATGATACGTACGTTGGAATTTATCTGGTGTTGGATTATTTGAAATGTATGTTTATGCATGAATTAAATTACATAAGCTTACCCTATTTCCTGTCTTGTCATGTATTCACGTTCGTTCGTCTTTGTCTTTGCGATGAACACCCTGTGGGTGGGAGCAGAACCAGAAGAGTTGCTAAAAGAAGAATTAGAAGAAGCAATGGAGGAAGAAGCTTATCCGAGTTAGAAGTTAAGACCGAGCCATAGAATCATTCAGTCAATAGTGGTCTGATAGTAAGGTGACCGTTCGCTTACTTTTTCTCTTTCGTTTTTGTTTTGACCGTTCGGTATAGGCTTTTTGTAACCCGTTCGGTCAGACTTTCTTTTGGCGTTCGGTTTTAATTTTCGAGTCTTTCTGTAAAGCCGTTCGGCCATAGTCGTACGTGCTCTTTTATTGTATGAATGAGCTGTAATATTACTAAATGTGATTATTCTATTATATAGTTTTAGACTGTATTTTTGGGATGTTACATCTATTGAGTACCATACATAATTGTAGTTGTGTCTATATGTTTTAAATATTTAAATGACTTTTTTTAAAAATAAAAATTACAACAAATAAAATATGATATTTAACGAGTTCAACTGTTGAGCAACGAAAAAGAGTTATTATTTAAATAAAACAAAATTGAAGATTAAAGAAAAAAGATAAGATCAATTTTCTAAGTTACTAATATATTAAATATATTTTTTTATTGAATTCTCAAAAGCGAACTGTTAGACATTCTTACATGACAAAAAAAACTATAAATAAAAATATTATAAACAAGTAAAAATGTTTAAATGTGTGTATTAGTAATGATTTAGTTTGATAAAATTAAAATTTATTATTTTTTTAAATGCAATACATTATTTGAAAAAAGCCACACAAAAGGAAAAAAAAATATGCAATTGAAGTTGTAATGAAAAATAAAGTATATGGGAGATTTGACAGAACTTAATAATATTGAATGAGTTAAACAATTGATAGGGATAATAAAATATTGTCTAAAGGGTTCTTCAAATAAAACAAAATAAAAGAAAAAAAAATAGTGAAAATCAGTTTTGTAGATTACTTAAAAAATTAAGAATGTAATAATTTAAATGGAAATTGGTCTGAGAATGGAAATCAGTACTCATGTCCAATTAATGTAATATTTCTCATTAAAATTGAGGCAGATTCAAATTATACTCACACGATAGATTTATTTATCGTCACTAATAAGACGTTACTATGTAACTCAAACCATTTAATTTTAAAACACAAGGCAATGATCATATATGATAATATGTTATTAAAACATCTCTAGTAATGTTTCTTACAAAAACACATAAATATTAACATATTTCATTTTTATTACTATAAAAAATATTTCAGTTTTGATATAAAGAATTTAATTTGATTAATTTTGTTTGACCTCTTATGGTGATTAAAGTAGTTGAACACATGTTTAGTTTTTAGTAAAGATCACAATTATTTATTAAAAAAATTAACATTGATATAATTAACCTTGAAGGAAGGAATTATTTTTTTTTTACATTGTAAATTTAAGTCATTAGTAATTACTTAAATGTTAATTATATAACATCAATTTTCTCTTTAATAAAACAACTTCTTATAAGACACACCTTTTGTTAAGCAACGGGTTAAACATCATGTACTTGAGATACTCTTGGATCATATAACACTGAATCGCTGTAAGGAATCAAACTAAAAAGACTAAATGAAAAATTAAAAGAATAAAAGATCAAATTTAAAACTTGACATACTTATAATAAACATATTCAAGTGAATTATACATACTAAAAAAAAAAAGTCAATTATAGAGCATGCACAAATGGTGGAAATGTGACAATTGTTCACTCTTTAAATCGATTGGTTACAGCACTTATCCTGCCATTTCATGAGGTGGGAACACTTTCTGAATAAAATCTAGGAAGCGACGTGAGTAGAATGTAGGGTCCACCGCCGAGATAGATAAAGAATCAAACTGAATAGATTTATATGCATGTTCAATCTTCTTAGTCATGTTGTACTCTTGCAATATGTCAATTATACCCAGGTAAAGTACGACGTCGTAAGCTTCATGGAACATTTCCATTTCCTCTTTCCCTGGAATCTGCTCTGCCCTCGCAGGCATGTTCACACCAAGCTGGATTTGTAGTCTGCATAACAAGTTCAAAAGTATGAAAAACCCTGATCAGCCTTTAAAATTCTAGTCCATCAATGTCAAATGAGCATGACAGAGGTTTAGGACGAATAAAGATTCCATCCGAGTATGTTAATAAAGATCAAGAATTCCAAATACTTTAATTTGTGGCATGACATTTATCAATCAGCTTTTAGCTTTTCAAATCACTTTTCGAACGCGATTGAGATAGATATTTGTTCCAAGCTGGGACTGCTTAATATTCATTCCCAGCTTGAGGGAGACTCTTAAGTATAGTTTTTTGTTATTTTTTCTGTTAGACCTCTGTTACAGATCTGTTATTCTTTTTCTTTTCGTTACTCTACATTGTATATATATATATATACCTTCTATTATCTCACAATAACATAAAGAGCCTTCATTGATCATTCTTATTATTTCTTTTCTCTCTCCCGATTGCTATATTTGTTATTAATTAATTTTGAAACAGGAGCACGCATGCATCCTTTGGCAATGGCTTCATCATCCCAGTCCCACCACAATTATCCTTGAAGGTTGAAGTGTCAAACATCCCAAATTTTTATATATTTTATGAAAATACAAGTGATAACGAATTGGGAGGTGTATGGATCAAACGAAAAATATAATAGAAGGACCACTACGATGTTGAAAATGATACATAACATTAGATAAACCAGTAAATCTCTTGAAGAAACCATACCTTGCAGTACCAGGTAGAAGTAGATCCACCTCCTCGTCACCAGCAGCTGAAGCTCTCAATCTGCTACCCCTAATGTGTGACCCTACAACAACGCTATCATCATCTGCACCTCGAGGGACCAGAACAAGACCTTGCGGATAATTGGATGCTTCATCCTCTAGAGGGTCTGTTAGTTGATCATCAATGAAAATTTGAAATTAGTCAGTTCCATTATTAATAACTCTAGTAGAAAGCAAGAATATAAATCATGTTGAAACTTGAAAGCATAACGACAAGACAAGACAAACAAATAGATAAGCTTATAAGGCTTTTTAAAATGGCGCGGTGCCTAACCATAGTACAGTAAAACTGTGATCATATGTCAACCAAATGAAGCACCTGGAAAGAACCACAATGTTGAAGGAAAAAAGAAGGAAGAAACAGTCACTGGGTTAAGAGTTGACTGAAAACGAGTCAGCGTGTTCAACTGGAATGACCAAGGACCTGGTTCCTTTCAGATGAACAAATCCAGGCCTAGTTTTAATACACTGGTCCAAATAATCGTGACTAACAGTTTAAGAAGAAAATCTAGACATAAGCCAAACCTATTATTGTAAATAGGGGATTATTTGGATAACAGTATCCATAATACCTCTATAATGATTACGATAAAATATTTTTAGAATCTTTAAATTCAGCATATTTTTGTTTCATTTAAGAGTTTGAGTGCCTCACGCTGGCAATCACGTCAACAATTGCATTGTCAATAGAATTGTCATGCACGGTCATCCGCCACCACTAGTATTGGCGCATATAGCCCACGCCCAAGCTTTAGTGAAGCCCACTTGCAGTTGCCGCCATGAACAGTGTCATCAGGACCTCCTAATTCAAGGGGTATTAATGTCCCATTTGGCTCCAATTTCAGTAGATCTAAGTCTTTTTATTCTTTTTCCAAACAGGTTCTTTTTGTTACTTCTTTGTTTCGTATATATTTTTTTCAATGTCTAGTATGAAGCCTATAAAGAGGAATGTGGTCGTTTGAAAACAATGGTTGAATCAATGAGTAAACCCTCTTATTGTATATCCTACTCATGAAAGGTAACAGTACATTCGACATTGTTAGTCCTGTATCTTAGTGTTTGGAAACATGACTCCAATCTTTTATGCCTTCAATTTGAATGTAAAAATCACTAGACAACAACTCGTTACAATTGCAAATGGTGATATTGCATCCATATGCAGATATGATAATATAACTTTAAAATTATCTATTGTCTTAAATAATGTTTTATATATCCCACAACTGTCCAATAATTTTATTTATGTACAAAAGCTAATAGAAGATTTGAATATTTTAGTAATTTTCTTTTTTCTTCTTATTGTGTGTTTCAAGATTTTATAATGAGACGATGATTTTAATTACTAAGGAGTGGGTTATATCTATTAGAGCCTTTACAATTGTACAGGTTCTCAATGAATTGTGTTTAATGCAGATCACACAGCACGTAATTATAGCATAATACAAAATGAATTATAATAAATCCACCTAATAATTAGGAATTATCATCCTAATTTCTCAAATTTATGTAACGCCTAATTTCCTAAAAATTTGTAACCGCTAATTTTATTCTAACACTCCCTTAATATGGAACATATGTACCAAGATTGTTACAAATAAAACATATGTACCAAGCTTGTTACAAATGTACTCAATCTGAGGGCCTCTAAGGAACTTGGTGAACATGTCAGCCAATTGATTGTATGAAGACGAAGACAATACTAAGATCACTTGTTACTCTGATCCAGATTAGGAAGGATCATCATCTTGAAGCACGGTCTGCCAGGTTGGAGCCCATCTGCCAAGTTGGAGCACGGTCTGCCAGGTTGGAGCACCGAGTTGGAGTACACTCGGCCGGTTCGGATCACGATCGGCCGGGTTGGAGCACGGTCGGCCAAGTTGGAGCATGGTCAACCAAGTTGTTGCTCGGTCAACTGGGTTGGAGCACGATTGGTCGGGTTGGAATGATGAATGAAGTGCGGTGTTCGCCGAAGGAAGCCGGTCTTGATCACGGTGGTCATCGGAGGAAAAGGATGCTCGGTGACAGAGAAAAGGGGCACACAGTGGCCGATGGTGGACAGAGGCAGCGGACAGTGGACAATAGTGAAAGAGGGATTGTAGAGAACTGAAATTAGGAGAACGGAACTCAGATATTTAGACACAAGTGTTGAAAGACAAATTTTATGGTCACCAGTGGCACTGGCCATCGGCAGGCAGCAATGACAGTGGTTGAAGAAACTCAAAGAACCTACTCTTATACCACATAGAATTGTATATGTTTTAAATGAATTGTGTGTCTAATGCAGACCACACATGTATTTATAGCATAATACATAATCAATTATAATAAATACACTTAATTAAAAATCAATCATCCTAATTCTCAAATTTATGTAACGCCTAATTTCCTAAAAATTTGTAACCGCTAATTTTATTCTAACACTCCCTTAATATGGAACATATGTACCAAGATTGTTACAAATAAAACATATGTACCAAGCTTGTTACAAATGTACTCAATCTGAGGGCCTCTAAGGGACTTGGTGAACATGTCAGCCAATTGATTGTATGAAGACGAAGACAATACTAAGATCACTTGTTACTCTGATCCAGATTAGGAAGGATCATCATCTTGAAGCACGGTCTGCCAGGTTGGAGCCCATCTGCCAAGTTGGAGCACGGTCTGCCAGGTTGGAGCCCATCTGCCAAGTTGGAGCACGGTCTGCCAGGTTGGAGCCCATCTGCCAAGTTGGAGCACGGTCTGCCAGGTTGGAGCCCATCTGCCAAGTTGGAGCACGGTCTGCCAGGTTGGAGCCCATCTGCCAAGTTGGAGCACGGTCTGCCAGGTTGGAGCCCATCTTCCAAGTTGGAGCACGGTCTGCCAGGTTGGAGCCCATCTGCCAAGTTGGAGCACGATCTGCCAGGTTGGAGCACCGAGTTGGAGTACACTCGGCCGGTTCGGATCACGATCGGCCGGGTTGGAGCACGGTCGGCCAAGTTGGAGCATGGTCAACCAAGTTGTTGCTCGGTCAACTGGGTTGGAGCACGATTGGTCGGGTTGGAATGATGAATGAAGTGCGGTGTTCGCCGAAGGAAGCCGGTCTTGATCACGGTGGTCATCGGAGGAAAAGGATGCTCGGTGACAGAGAAAAGGGGCACACAGTGGCCGATGGTGGACAGAGGCAGCGGACAGTGGACAATAGTGAAAGAGGGATTGTAGAGAACTGAAATTAGGAGAACGGAACTCAGATATTTAGACACAAGTGTTGAAAGACAAATTTTATGGTCACCAGTGGCACTGGCCATCGGCAGGCAGCAATGACAGTGGTTGAAGAAACTCAAAGAACCTACTCTTATACCACATAGAATTGTATATGTTTTAAATGAATTGTGTGTCTAATGCAGACCACACATGTATTTATAGCATAATACATAATCAATTATAATAAATACACTTAATTAAAAATCAATCATCCTAATTTTCTAAATTATGTAACACCTAATTCTCTAAAAATCTGTACCAGCTGATTTTATTCTAACAGAGCCCAAGGAACAAAACAAAACAAAGGCTACAAACCAACAAGCAATATTTAAAACATGGACATGTTCCCAAATGTGGCTTAATCATAGAAGACATAGATATCCCTCATTCAACCTTAATAAATCCTTGTTCCCTTGTTTGTTTACCAAAGAGATTGTTGAGTCTCTTAAATGTGACATCTATCAATAGTCAAAGCATCATCATGAAACATATCCCATTTTGGGGTAATAAGAGTAATTTCCCATTGACTTAACTCACTCTAATGTATGAGGACCTATTTAGAATACAATTTTAGAGAAAAATGGTTTGTTACTTTTATTGGTGATGGTACTCATCACATGGACACACTATGAAAAGTTTCAAGGTCTTTAAAATCTGTCAATTTTTTCCTTCTTGTCCAAAATCAATTTGGAAAAACTATCAATTTGTGAATCATGAATTTTTCAAATTTTTGGCTCATATGGTAATATTAATGAACTAACATGTGTAAACACTATAACAAAACGGGGTTACAAAAGGGAAAAATCATTATCTTTTAGAAGTAGCTAGAGCCTTGCTTTTTTTTTCCAAATGTTTGTTTCCAAAACCTATTGGGGAGAAGTTGTGTTAACTGTAATACCTTCTCAACAAGTTACTTTCCTATTTCTTAAATGACATTGGTCTTCATTCCTTCTTCTCCTCTAATGTCAAGTTTACCTTGTCTAGTTTTTGGATGTGTTATTTTTTATAACTCTCAATCCTAATTGCAATAAATTAGATCCTAGAGTTCTTAAATGTGTATTTATTAGTTATCCTTCTAACAAAAAGGGATGTCAATATTATCATCACTAGACTAATGATGGATGTCTCTTTCATGAAACAAAAGTTTTTTTTGCCAACCTTTGCTTCAGGGTGAGAAAGCACTTGAAGCAGATAAGTTCTTCTTATCATTATAATAATTGTCTTTGCAGAATGCACAAGATTTAAGTGATGACTACCACAGATGAGACCAAACCAACCCATGGTGAGGAAGAAGATCACAAACTCTGACAAAAAATTGTCAAAAAAAGGTAAGAAGAACACACTTTGAATTAGAAGCAAGAAGAGTTGTTTAGCTTGGAGGTTAGGAAAAAGATATTACAAAATGAGGATTCATCTCTTCCAAAGTAATTGATCTCCTCAAAGAATTAGATAAGTTAAGATGTATTAAGAAGTGGATTTAAGTCTAACTCAACCCCACAAAACCGGCTTGTATGGTGAGGTTTGCACCCCACTTATATATTATAATTTGACCTTATCTTTAGTCGATGTGGGACTTCCAACACACCCCCTTCACGCTGAGGTATAGACATCTCGAGCGTGAGAGTATAATTAATGGGTGGTCCGATATTGGCCCGACAACGGGTGGAACAGAATGCCCACATAAATCTTGCTATGAAAGGCTCCAACCTTGCTCTGATACCATATTAGAAAGTGGTTTTAAGCCTAATTCAACCCCATAAAACCGGCTTGTAAGGAGAGGTTTGCACCCTACTTATATATTATAATTTGGCCTTATCTTTAGTCGATGTAGGACTTCCAACAAGATGTGAACCTCAAGAGTTCCTATTGAACAAAATCATAAAATTGGAAGTAAAGAGATTTCTCCTATAGAAAAGATCCAACACGAGATATTAGTAGGAAGACTTATTTATTATGAGAACACATTGTTAATGCAATTAGTGTGATAAGTCAATTTATGCATGATCTAAGAGAAAGACATGCAACTAGTCGATAAATTCCTCACTACTTGAAGTCAAACCTTGGAGAAGAACTATTGTTCAAGAAAGAAGAAACTTTAACCCTAATGATAGATATTGATGTAGACCATGCAGGTTCTATTATTGATAGAAAATTAACCTTTTGGTATGTATGTTTCTTGGAGAAAGTATGGTAACCTTGAGAAGCAAAATAACTGATACAGTTATCTTGTTCTAGTGCAAGAATTAAATTTCGAGCCCTTGCTCAAGGTGTGCCTTCTCTAGATGAAAATCATACTAGATAAACTTAATAAAAATTGACATCCCTATGCAATTATATTGTACTTACAAATCATCCATGAGCATAGTATATAATCCAATACAACATGATAGGAGGAAACATATTGAAATTAACACACGCTTTATCAAAGACAATATTGACAAAGGTGTTGTAATTACAACCCTTGTTCCTATAGGACTTCATAAATCAAACATTTTCATTAAGGGGCTTCATCAAGTCAATCTATAGGATCTTGTAATCAAGTTTGGAATGATCAATATTTAATTACCAACTTGAGGGAGAGTATTATAACTAGCAAATTATTAGGATAAAAATATCACCATAGTGATTACAAGAAAATATCTTTAGAATCTTCTCATCCATGGTAATATATTTTTATTTACTCGTTTTAAAAAGTTTGATTGTTACAAATAGTGTTAACGAAAATGTAATTGGTGGAATTGTTATCTATAAAATAATTATTTATTTCCTTACATAGCTCAAGTTCCCCTCAGGGCTCTTCCACATTAAGATATCCTCAAGTGGAAACAATTTTTAACCACAAGAATCTTAGCAGTGACTCTTGTACCATAGACTCTTGTCCCTATCACAACGAGACACGCTTTCTTGAGATCCCTATCAAAAAGACTTTTGATGCAAGGGATCCACAAACATAGGATCTATCACCCATTACATATTTTAGGTAGTCACCAAGACAAACTATCAACTCAAATACTACTTGCGCAATTTGATGGGGGGAAACAATGGGGGAGATTTTCAGCAATAAGCATAAGATAAAAAACACTAGAGAATTTTACACCACCTTCAACTTAAAACCTTTAGACTATAAAATTGTCAATAACAAGGTAGATGGACATTAGCCAATTTGGGATAAGAAAAGGAAGTTTCCAGAAATTGCCCTCATTTTCATCAGTTACCCTACCAAATGAAACTAGCCAATTTGGGATAAGAAAAGGAAGTTTATATCGTCTACTAGCCACATCAATAATTAGGGGAATAGAGCTATCTTTTTAGTCTCTCCGTTTCAGGTCATTAGTTTCATTCTGATGCATGAAAACAAAACTATCAACCCAAAAAAAGTATCAACCATACAAAGGAAAATAAAAAAAAAAACCATTTGCTTCTCAGATTGGATCAAACACCCACCTTCCTCTGCAAGAATTGCCAATCCATCTACAGTTCTACTTTGGTTGTGTGGACGTAGCTGCTGGGGTGCCCGATAATGAACACCAAGAAGGAGGCTGTAATCCATTATCTGTTGTAATTCCAAGAACTTGCTGTCAATTTCAATCTGCCTGCAATGAGTATGACCAACACTGTAAGGTATATTCCATTTTGAAACAAAGCGTGGAACATAATAATATTCTGGAAAACTCACTAGACAAAATTTTGGAATTCAAACAAACACAAGCAGTTCCTATTTTTATTAAGCTACAATACATCTATATGGGAAGGGAGGACAAAAAAACACCTGTTCCTTAAAAGTTGTATATATTCACTCTACAATATCAGAATGTGTCAACGATTCAACTGCACCGAAAGAGACATTTGCTTTATAAACCTACATGTACAAATTTAGAGATATACAATTTTTTTTTCTTTGCTTTTTAAACAAAGAGTAATTTATCCTCCTTTATCTTCATATTCCTAGCAATAAAAAATCTTTTATATAAAGAAGAAACATCAAGAAAATGAAAAATTAAAGAAAATAAATAGTATCACTTACTTCAATAAAGACTCCCGCCAAGATGGTTCCAAGTAAAAGCAGTAATTCAAATCCAAATCTTTAAGGGTAGTGTTCTCATCAATTTCTATCTTATCAGAAGAACGTCCACACGATGAACCTTTCAAATCATATCTCCTATGGATCCTTAATTCTGTGCAGAACATATTTCCCATCACAACAAAGCGAAACTGCAAAAAAGAGAATTATGTATCAATATTAGCATTCTAATTAAATAAAATGTAGATTATTAAGTCATTTAGAATGAGAGATGTTAAGTCATGACAGGTTCAAATATTTGATGAGGTGTATTTTCTTTGTGAAAATCTTGTCCTTATGGCATTTCAGAATTGGAAGTATTAAAATACAAGTTTGTTAAGAACATGAGGCCTATTACTGAAGTGTAGTAAAGAAGAAATACAAACAAAATAAACCCAACTGACTGAGCACTCAAACAACTAGACAGTTTGTGTATAAATAGCAATGTTATTACTGTAGTAGCAGGTTTCTTGAAACTCATTTTGGGAGAGTGTTGAGACTCCTAAATTCTTGAAACTCCTGTGTTTTTTCACTCTATTCTCTTTATCTCTACCTCTGTATTGTGTTGTAAATTCTTTTAATTTTTGGTACCAGTTGTCTCAATTGGTATCAAAGCTCCAATCTTGGAGTTGTGTTCATCAAGAATTAACACAAGTGAGGCATGTAGAGGACTTCAATAAGTGAAAAGAAAATGGAAGGAAGAATGGAAATTGTAGAGAAAATGCTGGAATCTGAATCAGAATCGAGATTCTAACAGAGACATTGTGAGGGATATAAAAATGATGGAAAACATAGTTCAGAAGATGGATAATCAGATGCAGAGGGTAAGGAGGCTTGAAGAACAACAAATCAAAGACAAGAAGTGATAAAACAGAGTCAGAAGCAGAGAGGGTTTAGATTGGAGTTCCAAGATCACTGGAAAAGATTGGAGATACCTTCCTCTAGCAGAAAGGAAGGTGTGCATGGATGAGCCCATAAATTGGAGGGATACTTCCAAATTAGAGGAGCATCAGAGAAAGACAAGACGGAGGCAGTATTGGTTTATTTGGAAGGATGGCACTTAGTTTGTTCCATGATGAGAATCTTGCAACCCAAGTTCAATTTGAGAGGTTTTCAAGAATTCCGATATGGACAGAGGTGGACCATGTGTTGCAGCAATTTCAAGAAGTGTTCCAACCCTCTGAAGGACTCCCACCAAAAAGGAGGCCAGATTATGCAATCCACTTGAAGGAGGGATCAACAATTCCTAACTTGCAATCATATAGGAATCAATGGCTTATTTATGTTGTACTGCAGGAACTAAACCAAAGGTTTGGCCAGATGTATTAAGTTGGGAAGAGTTTTGTTTTGGTTCAACACTACATACAATGTGTCCAGTTCAATGACAACTTTCAAGCATTGTATGGACACACTCCACCTTGTTGAAAGGGACAACCATTCCTTCAAAAGTGAAAGAGGTCAACAAGTTAACTCAACGATGTGATGAGTTGTCAAATGATTTTAAGTCACCATTTTTTAAGGGCCCTAGACAGTATGAGAATGCAAGCTAATAAGCATAGGAGAAGTAAAAAGTATACTGTGGGAGATTGGGTGTTTCCCAAGTTATAGCCCTATAAGATGCTCAGGCTGGCTAAAAGACCTAACTAAAAGATGTGTCCTCGCTTTTATGGCCCTTTTCAGATTTTGGATAGAATTGGTCAAGTAACCTATAAGCTAAATTTACCGGGTGATAGCAGGATTCACCTGGTTTTTAATGTGTCTCTCCCAAAGAAGGCAGTCAGCTCACTGCAGCTTATTCAAACTCTACCCCTGACCTTAGCAGATGATATGGAGCTCCAGGTTCAACCATCAAATGTGTTGGATATCAGACAGGAAGCAATGGGTGATTTAAAAGTTTTGATCAAATAACACAACCTCCCTCCTTGTGAAGATACTTGGGAGGCAGCATCTACTCTACAAGGTGGATCCTTTTCGGGAGGTATTGTTGTCGGGAACATGAGGCCTATTACTGAACTGTACTCTAGAATAAATTATAACAAAGCAAACCTAACTGATCCTCAAGTCAACCAGTTAGGCAATTATAGAAGCAGGTTTTAGAAACTCATTGAATAATGAGATTCTCAAACTATCAGTAATCAATACAATTCACAGTTCATTCTCTATCTATATTCTCTCTTGACAGCTACCTCTGTATTGTGGAGTTAATTCTTTTAATTTTTGGTACCAGTTGTATCAAAGTAGATGTGATAGTAAGTAATTGAAAAATACTAAAAATTGATTCAGGTGCAGAAAAATGTATATTACCTTTTGACCACTGGAAGGTATAATCCTGTGCAGACCAAAAAATTTTGTGATAAGCGTATTATCATAAGTCTTCACATGATGATGATAGTCAGGAAGCATTCTAAGAAGAACCTACATTTCAAAATTTAATCAATACAATCTGTATTCTATAGTCAAAAAGAATAGTAGAGAAGAGCAAGTGAACACTAAAATATCATTATTAAGCAAGAAAGCATATGCTCCAAGACTTTATTCAACATTCAATAAGTGTTTGGACAAGCATAAAATATCATACACAAATCAAACAAAAAAGAGAGAATTCTTCAGGAAAAAGTACAAAAAATCAAGAATGAGGTAAAGATGTCAAGTTTCTCGGCGTATCAGAAACTCGGACTCCTTTGAAACAGTCACAATTAAATTAATCAGACTGTGTTATGTAACTTAAGTTTTACGAGTGCTTATGTGTGTATAGATGTAATATTGTTTTATTTGAACCCTATTATTGATATTTAATCCTGCGTTTAGCATACTTTTATAATTTGTCACATTTTAACCATCTAGTGATGATGTCATCATCAGCCCTTGTTCCAAGAGCGTCACTGATAAGAGATAACAATCCCAAAGCCAAACAGGTTTATTATGGCTATTAGATGCAGATTTCCACTAATGGCAACCTGAATATTTGTATAGGTACAAACTGTATAATGTATTTTGAACTACAAAATAGAGCCAGTAGAAACAAGCCCCCAAAACAATTATAGATATCTGTAACTGTAATAAATGCTAACAAAGAAGATCCAGATAAAATTAAAATTACCTTCACTTCAGATCTACGCAGTGTCTTAATCATGAATCGATCATCCTGAGACAGGAAAAAGACACTACCACTTTTTCCTGGGGAAGAAAGTTCCCTCAGAGCATCATTTCCACAAATGGACATCATATAGTCAGCAGCATCAATCTTGAACAACTCTCTCAAATTCCTGCAATAGCCACAAGGTCATATATAACAATCACAAGTAAAGTGAAAGGAAAACAGAAAGGAGAAAAAGAAAGTTGTTAACAGTGGTTCCAAACTACGTATACAAACTGTTGTTAGTAAGATATTAAGTATACTACTAGAAACTTTTAGAAGCTGTTAGAAGAGTTTAGAAATCTCAATGTAATTATTACTACAGGATTAGAGTTCTCTATATATAAAAGTTGATGTTTTGTTTTAATGAATCAATTGAATAAGAATCTTCTTTCATTCAGATTAATCCTTTCAAGTTGATATCAAAACTCCCAATCTTAGGAGTTCTACTTCTGCATTTCTTCTTTACAATCTTAGTTGCAGTTCCTTTTAGGGTTGCCTAAGGTGCACCCATTTCCTCCAATTATTGGGGTTACTTGAAATTCACCCAACTTGCGGTTTTGTCACTCCTGCTCCCCGTTGTTGCCATCCACCAGAGCCATTGCTATCGGAGTTGTTGCTGCAGCTGTCTCCAGAACCATTGTTGGACCTTTTGCCACAGCTAGCAGTGCTGCTGTCATTGCTGCCATTGTCAGAGCTTTCTGTCTTACTGTTCTGTTTTTATTTAGGATGGGGCTAAGGAATCCCTATGTTTTTTAGCATGACAGCTCCATTAAGCAATGTTGATCTTCTGAGTTTAGATTCTTAAAATCCTAGCAAGACTCCTTCATCCTCTTCAATTGAACAAGGAATACAAGCACTGCATGCTGAAATTGAACATCTAAAATCCCTCATGGTGACTATCAGTAAGCCACCTTTTGGTACTTGCTCTATCTCTTTTAATGTTTCTAAAACTTTATGTAAGGACTCTTTGGGTTCTGGACTCTAGTGCGACAGACCATATGACTCCTCCTTCATCTCTTTTAACTCATTTGTTTCTCTTACTACTAACCACATTACTGTTGCCAATGAGACTCATATCCCAATAACTTGACATGGTAAAGTTTGTCTTTTGTCATCTCTCACCCTTAAAGATGTCTTTTATGTTCCTAAACTTTCAAATAATCTTATTTCTATTCAAAATTACCTAGGACCTAAGTCATTTTGGAACCTTTCTTTCCACTCATTGTGTTTTTTAGGATCCTGCTACAATGGGACGATTGTGGATGTCAAGAAAGAGGGAGGGTTCTATTGCTTTAATAACTAGGGAACTAAGGATAGTATCAGTACACAAACAGGTACCTCTTGTCTCCAATTTGAGTCTTGTTAGGACTTAGAGAGTATAGGAAAGGAGAAAAGGGAAACAGAACACTTAACTGTTAATTAGTTAAGTGAGGGGGCAGGAAAAGGCCTATATATTAGGACCCTTTATTGTTTCAGTTAGCCAGTTGAGTAGTTTGTATGTGTAGACCGGTCTTGGCACCAGGTGAAGGAGATTAAGCTCCTAAGATACAGTGTAATCTTGATTCTTTTGTTGTGAATACCAATCATACTCTTCTTTCTTTTCCAATTCTCGACTGTGGTGTTTGAGTAGAGATAAAGCTGGTTAGGAATTCCTTTCAGAATCCCTAACAAAGTGGTCCGACCTGCCGGTGAAGGATCAAGAAGTAATCGAGAAACTGCCGAATTCCCATTTGGAGAGGGGTGTCGGATTCTTGGGGAAAGGAGCGTGATGGAAGGAAGAGACAATTCTTGGGAAAGGAGGATCAGCGAACAGAAAAGGGAGCTAGCAGAATGGAAAAACAATATGCAAGAAATG